GTATGACCAAGTGACGTCACCCGCAAGTCAACGTGACTTAATCATACAAGGCGTCTATGAACATAATCCATCCATACTCAGTAGTAAACATACATAACAACATCACATTCAACCCAATGAATAGCGGAAATATTCAACGGTAAATCATGGGCCACAACCGGCCAAAACATGGGCTCACAGGCCCAAAATAGTTTATAGTAAAACAAATATCCATGAGCAAGTGTTTGGTAGTTTGAAAGGAAATAAGGAAGCACGAACCACGTCTTCCTTGATTTGAGTTCACCCGTAAGAAGGTGCAGGTAGCAAGCCCTAGCTTCAACCTGAAAATGGTGGGGGCCCCCCGAAGGGGTCAGTACAAGTAACGAGCGAGTAGCAGGCTAAATATAGAATAACCAGCGTTTCAAGTATAAGACCCAAACATAGGGTGATATTTATATAAATAATCTCCCCCCCCCCCCCAAGTTAAGAAATACTTCATAGTACATATACACTTGGAAAATACCCGATCCGTAGATCACCGTTTTATTTGGGAAAATAGTAATAGTCAATATTCTTGACTAAAAACCCCAACCCACCCATATGCCTATAAGTGTATAGGACTCCTCCTTGTCCATATTTATATACCATAACCTATGAGTTTTGAGGATCATAATCCTTGGGTACTCCACCAATTTATAATCCGAGTGTTAAGGACTTTTCGTCCTAGGGTCCTCCACCAATTTACAATCCGAGTGTTAAGGACATTTAAGTCCTAGGGTCCTCCACCAATTTATAATTTGAGTGTTAAGGACTTTAAGTCCTAGGGTCCTCCACCAATATATAATCTGAGTGTTAAGAACTTCAAGTTCTAGGGTCCTCCACCAATATATAATTTGAGTAATAAGGACTTTAAGTCCTAGGGTCCTCCACCAATATATAATCCGAGTGTTAAGAACTTCAAGTTCTAGGGTCCTCCACCAATATATAATTTCAGTGTTAAGGACTTTAAGTCCTAGGGTCCTCCACCAATATATAGTCCTATGATCAAGCTCCTATCAACCTAGATAGAGTCTATATCATATTTATTCATTCATAACTAAATCAATACATAAAGCTTATGTATCACAATACATGCAAAACCATGCATTTATATAAATTTATAATTAATTAATACTAACCGGTATTAATTAATCCATTATCCATCGGTCAACGTTTCGTTGACCGCCATTTCAAGCCTTGTACGTATCAGCTTAATCATCATATAATTAAGTTCATAATATTCCTTTGTGCTTCTCTTACACCTCAATTATTTCCTTTCATACAAACTTAACCATGTTGGCTAATCCCATGTTTAAATATCTTTTAAACATAATTATGAACACATATAACTTTTATTTAGGTAATCTCATAATTAACCCAAAAGTTACAAGATATTAAGCCGTCCACTCACCTTAAATGAGTTATAGCGTGTTCTACGCTCTTCGGTTGAACTCCGGCGAAACTCCGGCGAAACTCCGACGAACTCCGACGAACTCTAGAAACACCTTAGTCAAGCTCCTAACATGGTTTTATCATCACAAAACTCATATCAATACAAATAACCCTTAAAAGGTTATTTTCCGGCGAACCGGTCGTTTTCGCTTCTAAGTCCGTTCTTGGACTTAGAACTACCTTCCAACCCCTTATTCCACACTCATACCATGTAGAACAATCCTAAGGGCCTCCATATGATATTTATCTCATATGATAGAAGAAAAATAAGGGAAAAGTTATGATAAGGTTATTACCTTAATTTTCACACTTTTTCCTAGCTTTTTCCTCCTATAATCTTCTTCCTTGGGCCACCTTTGTTTGAGCTCGAGTTGAAGCAATGGAGGAAGGCTTGAGAGCTTCCTTTTCCTCCTCTTTTGGTAGCTTGGCCGAAAATAATGGAGTGAGTGAGTGAGGAGATAGCCTCTTTGGCTTTTCTCTCAAAATAATGTGGGGATGGGTCCCCTATTGTACCTTTGATGTCATTCCTCTCCTTTCACACTCCCCTCCCATGCACTCCCATCACCCCAGCCGGCCAACCCTCTTAATTGAGTGGCTAAATTCGTGGGTTGGCCCCCACACATGTGGGAGGTCAACCCTTTTTGTCCTGAAGTGTACAATCGGTCCCGAAAGTTGTATTTTTCGGACTATTTTAATTATATTTCATTTTATTTGGTCAAATAAGATATATTATGTGTTTTCCATCATTATGGACTCTTAGAATGAATATAAATTCCTCCTTTGTAATTTAGGAGCCTCCGAATTCCGTTTCGGGCTGTTATCTAATAAATTACCAATACCGGTAATTGAGTCTCGTTTGACCGACGGGTCAACCCTATGCCCTTCCTATGGCCCAACTAAAATGTCCATCACCATATAAATATCATCTAGACCAAGATGAATATAATGTGTGGTCCCGGGATTATCGGATGGTCCCCGCTCTCGATGCGGGCCCCACGTGCAATTTACTATTCACGTGAAAGAATTAATAAAAATTTACAACTTCATAAATTCATTGATCATTACATAAGGTTTAATACATTATTTACTAAGAAGTAAATATTATTAGGGGACGGTGTTACAAGTTCACCCCCCTTATTTGGGATTTCGTCCCCGAAATCCACATGTCTAATCGAAAAGAAACGGGTATTGCTCCCTCATTGAGACCTCGGTCTCCCATGTTTCTTCTTCGATTCGATCACTTCTCCACAGAACCTTTACCATAGGAATCTCCTTGTTCCTAAGCTTCTTTACCTGCTGGCCCACTATCTTCACCGGTTCCACTGCATATTGTAGGTCCTCTCGAATCTCTATCGATGGTCTCTCAAGAATATGTGACGGATCTCGTACATACTTCTTGAGCATCGATACATGGAAAACATCATGAATCTTGTCAAGTTCAGGTGATAACTTGAGACGGTAAGCCACGACCCCAATCCGTTCAAGGATTTCAAACGGACCAATGTATCGGGGGTTAAGCTTACCCCTCGATATGAATCGGATGATACCTTTCCAAGGAGAAATCCTTAGAAACACCTAATCACCAACTGCAAATTCTAACGGTCTACGTCGTTTATCGGCATAGCTCTTCTGCCGATCTTGGGCAGCCTAAAGTCTATCTCGAATAACCTTCACCTTAGCCTTGGTGATCTCGACTAGTTCTATCCCTTCGAGCTTGGCCTCGCCAACCTCGTCCCAACACAACGACGTCCTGCATTTCCTCCCATACAATGCCTCGTATGGAGGCATGCCAATACTCGCCTGATAACTGTTGTTATACGCAAACTCCACTAGTGCCAAATGTTTGTCCCAACTCCCCTGGAACTCCAAGGCACACGCCCTAAGCATGTTTTCCAAAATCTGTATCACCCACTCGGATTGTCCATCCGTCTGAGGGTGAAACGCCGTGCTAAACTTCAGTTTAGTCCCCAAGGATGCTTGGAACTTTGGCCAAAACCTAGATGTGAATCTTGGGTCCCTATCCGAGACGATGGATATTGGAACTCCGTGTAACCTCACAATCTCCTCCGTGTATAACTTGGCCAAACGTTCAAGAGGATAAGTGATGTTGATAGGAGAGAAGTGTGCACTTTTGGTAAGCCTATCAACCACCACCCACATTGCATCGTAATTGTTCACCGTCCGTGGTAACCTTACCACAAAGTCCATGGTGACATGTTCCCACTTCCATTCTGGAATGGTAAGTGGCTGCAAAAGTCCCGCCGGGTGCTGATGCTCCGCCTTAACTTGTTGACAAGTAAGGCATCGGCTCACATACTCCGCGATGTCTCTCTTCACACCAGACCACCAATAACTTTCCTTCAGGTCCCTGTACATCTTTGTACCTCCTGGATGCATAGCATAGGATGAAGAATGGGCTTCCTCGAGTATGGATTTCCGGAGCTCCTCATTATGTGGTACGCATACGCGATCCTTGAACAATAAAAGACCATCATCACGTACCCGAAAATCCGCAACGGGTCCTTCAAGGATCCGTTCGCGGACCTTCTGACATTCCTCATCAATGCCTTGACCTCTACCGATCTCACTCAGCAACGTAGGTCTAACCTCAAATCTCGCTATGAGTGCCCCGCTCGAGGACACCTCCATGTGTGCCCGTAACGCTTGTAGGCATGTGAGTAACATCCCCGACGTACTCTTCCTGCTCAGTGCATCGGCCACAACGTTGACCTTACCGGGATGATAGTCGATGATCAAGTCATAGTCCTTGATCAACTCCATCCATATCGCTATGATTGTTTTGCTATTCTTTGCGTTTTTATCTCAAATTCACAAAAAAACTTGCTGGAATTATTTCCGGGGACGAAAGTAGCATCGGAGGTGGCTTCAGTGACACGACCGACGATGACAGTGACATGACCGGGGCGGCAGTGACATGATCAGTGGTGGCAGTGATATCCGTAAGTGACATGAAAATGTGACAGGATTATCCATTAGTGACATGAAAATCTTACAGTAACATCATGATTTCTAAATATATGACCTTGTTAGTCACATTTTTGTCCTTATGGAAAAGTGGTCACATTTTTTAAAATTAACTTCAATTATGTAATATTTAAGGAAAAATCCCATCTCTTTATTGTCCATATTGGGATAAGTCTTAATTTGTCAATTAGAAAGTCATATGTATTATTCCTGCCATTATTTCTAATGTTTTCAATCAAGTGATTCAGTTTAAATTAAGCTTAAAACGCAAATAGACGATGTACTTTTTCATTTATTCCAAGAATTACCAATTTTTTGTATTAACCACTTTTATAATAATCTATAAAACATTAATTACTCCGTATTCCTTAAAATTAGAAGCTGTAGTATGATGGGCTTCATACGGGCTGCCCCACTATGGAACTGATAATATACTGAACCACTCATGGTCTGTCATAGATAATGGGCTTCTCATATCCAAGTATAACTGGACCGGGAATCAGAGCCCATTTAAGGGTAAAGAGGACAATTTCGGCAAAAATCTTCAAAACCCTAGCTCTTAAATCGTAGCCTCATTTCGCTTCCTATATAGAAAGCAGACGAAGGCCCAAGTGACGATCTCTGCCCTCTGCATCATTCCGTCAAAATGCCGCCGAAGTTCGATCCTTCTCAGGTCGTCGAGGTTTTCGTCCGAGTCACCGGCGGTGAAGTTGGGGCGGCGAGTTCTCTCGCCCCCAAGATTGGTCCGCTCGGACTTTCCCCTAAGAAGATCGGTGAGGACATCGCCAAGGAGACCTCCAAGGACTGGAAGGGCCTGCGTGTGACCGTCAAATTGACAGTCCAGAATCGTCAGGCGAAGGTTTCAGTTGTCCCATCCGCCGCCGCCTTAGTTATTAAGGCGCTCAAGGAGCCTGAGCGCGACCGGAAAAAGGTCAAGAACATCAAACATAGCGGCAACATTTCACTCGATGACGTGATCGAGATCGCTAAAATCATGCGCCCGCGCTCCATGGCTAAGGAATTGAGCGGCACTGTGAAGGAGATTTTAGGAACATGTGTTTCAGTCGGTTGCACAGTCGACGGCAAGGACCCAAAGGATCTGCAGCAGGAGATCGATGACGGTGATGTGGAGATTCCTGAAGCCTGAGAGTGTAGGGTAAGGAAATGAGGACTCGATTTCAGGAGTTTTTGAACTCTAAATTTTCTTCCTTACTAGTAATTATGTTGTGCCTTTTTAATCTTTGCCATTATGTTTTGAGGATTTTAGTTTCTTCATCCAAGGATAATTTTGATTTACAATGAATGCTTGAGTAGACGATTCAGGGTATTTCTTTTGGATGAATGTGCTCTTCATCATGATCTGTTTTTGTATGTTTTTATTTATTACTGTTCAAGTATTTCCTGTTTCAATTTTTTCTTTCGATCTCTTATTTAGAACAGTTTCATTGTTAAGTCCGATCAATTAGATTTTGTCTGCAATGGATTATGTCCACACTGTTGTAGATGCAAAATAAACAAATCATGCTAGTCTATCAAATGAAGTGTGCCTGACTACTGCCTACGCATGATTGTTAGCCTATACACTATTGTGATAAGTCCGCAATTAGTTTGAATGTGTAATAAATGAATTTCTTCAACAGCCTTTTAAAGTTATTCATCAATCATTTATATCTCTGAGACAATATCTGCCTGAGATTAAAGGCCTTAAATAGCATTAAAGGCTTGCATTGATAGGTCAAATGTTAGAATGCATATCATTTCTCTTTTTGTATCTAGTGTGTGCTGGGAGTGTTTAGTTTTAAGGAAAAGTTGTGATCGATGTTTTAGATTGTTGTGAATATTGGAATCCAAGTTTGGGATTCAATTTTTGTGTAATAAGTTTTGGTTGTGCATGTCAACTAAATGAACGTAATGTGAGGTATCCAATTGTAAATTTAGACCTTAACATCATGTGTCCCTGAACTTATAGTTGTAAGGTCCCTAAATATATGTATTTGAGATGTCACTGCTCTTGAGAATCCCCCCACCAGATTTAGTAATGTGGTGTTTGCTTTGGATGTCTGTTTCAGACTGTGTGCCATGCTTAGAGTGCATTATAACCATGAGAAGAGTGTTATTTAAGGAGAGGCACTTTCTTCATTGTGCATAACTGTAGTCTGAAATACATACATGGCCTCTAAGGTGATGTTGTGTATCCTCCTGATAAACTAACAAGGTCACAAGGACTTAGGACTACAGACAATACTACAATAGTAACAAACCATGCATATAGACATATAGTGTATAGTAGAGGAAGACAATAAGAAGACTGGCAGTTATAAAATACTGAATGATAAATTATTTAACGCTTGTCACCCTTTGGATTCCATTCAAGTGAATGTTCTGATGAGCAGTGTTGTTATGTGGGTGAGCGGGAGTGGGAACGGCTGTGGCACTGAAGGGGAGATGGCAAGCATTGTTGAAGTTTCAACCGAAATGTGCAACAATTATCAGTTGAAAGTCTCCAAGCTTGAACAATATCCAAACCCTTTAGACATAGGAACAATTTTTCTTCATACCACATTACCACTTTACACTTTTTTCAATCAAGGTTGTTCTCTATCGATGATTGCTGTTACATATGTTGATAGTAGGTATGTATTGGGACGGGTCGGCCCGACCCGATCCCGTCCCAGTCCCGGCACTGTTTAGTCCCAACCTGGCCTGGTCCTCTTTAGGTTCGGAGCCCGTCCCGGTGGCTATAAGGGTGTGCTTCGGGCTCGTTTTTAGGACCGACCTGGCTGGGCTAGTCCCCGACTCGATTGCACTATTTTTTTTTAATTTATTGCCTAGGCTCGTCCTGGCCTGGTCCCAACCTGGTACTCTAGGCCAGCCTGGTCCGGTCCTGGTACAAACCTGATCCAATTCTGGGCCTGAAAGTTTTAGTCCTAGTCCCAGCCCGGCCGGTACTGGTCCATCCCTGGTTGATAAACGTGTTGCTAAACGTGTTTATAAACGGGTTTCAAACTTTCAATTCTTAATGGAATTAAAAAAAAGCACAATATTTTTATGCCCCTTCAATTTCCTGTCCATTCATCCTTTTTACCTCCATTTTGGGAAACCCCCAATAAGCCAATGGAGCCACTGGACACGGTCTTTTCTGTCCGAGTTTAAAGTAACGGCTAAAGGTAATGACGAGAGGTTAGTGATGAACTGATGATAAGAGTTTGTCTATTACTCCGTAATTCCGTATAATGTACTTCGTATAATATACTAGTATCAAAAACTATGTTTTTTGGAGAATATATTTGGTATAATACTATAATAATATATACTCCGTATAATATACTTGGTATAATATATACTCCATATAATATACTTCGTATAATTACTCGTGAAGTTTATTTCCTTATCTGATAAAGGCATTCTTATTAATGTACCCTAATAGTCACGAGTAATAATGATTATAATAATGTGTCTAAACAATGTGATTTGAAGTAAAACTTATGGCCTGTTTGAATGGGGTGCTTGAAGGCGTTAGCAATCAAAGTGTTAATGGGTGTTTTGCTTAACACTTGTTTGAGGGAAAATGAAAAAAAAATTAGAAGTGTTAATAAGTGTTTGCGGGTGTTGATCAAAACCTTCCTAACACCTATATTTATCACTTTTTTAACACCCCAATTTCGGGTGTAATAAAGTGTTGGACAACCTTTACACCTCTTATTCCCAATGTTCTCTATATCCAATTCTTCATTCACAACCAAGACATTCTTCGTCCACAACCAAGACCAATCTTCTTCTTCCTCAACCAAAGACCGGTCTTCTTCCTCCTCAGTCAAAGACCGGTCTTCTTTTAATCTTCTTCCTCAGCCAAAGACTGGTCTTCCTCCTCCTCAGCCAAAGACCAGTCTTCCTCCTTCTCAGTCAAAGACCGGTCTTCTTTTAATCTTCTTCCGCAACCAAAGACCTTCCTCTTCTATACCTCTTGCGGCTCTTCTTCCAGATGGAGTATTAAATTTGCTGATGCTACGGAGTGTTATATTTGATTATGGAAAAGCTGTATATTGATTCTTCTCTAATATAATTGAGTTGAATGCTACGGAGTATTAGATATGTTGATGATGCTACGGAGTATTAGATATGTTGATTAACACTTCATTTTTAATTCTCTCAAATAAGGTAAGATTATGTGTAACACTTATAGCTACCTTCCCTTCCGAGTTTCTGGTAACACTTACTAACACTTCCATTATTAACTCTTCCCGACACTCCATCCAAACAGATGTTACTCTCACTAAAATGTTAGACATAGAAGAAATTAAGAAAACCAAACCAAAGAAGTATTTAGGGGTTATCACTTAACTTTGGATAACTGAAACTGGTAAAGAAAGAAAGAAAATGTTAAGACAAGTTATTTTGGTTGTCGTGTTGAAGGAGTACGAAAATGGACCAACAAACCAATGGGCAATGACCGAGTCACCCAGCAAACCAGCCTAGCCAAAATGCTTAAACCGGTCCATTTCTTCAAAACTAACTCGATGAATCAATCCCAAAGGCTCGTTCTTTGTCAAATCTCAAAGGTAATGACCGAAACATTTCCAATATTTCCATCATTTCGCCCCATTGTTCTTCACGGAATAAAGTTTGAAGGTTAGAATGGTAAAATAACAATTTTGGATATGTTTGCAATTAGTGGTTAGTAGATAGCTGATTATGTTAGCGGAATATTAATAGTAGATTTAGTCAGCAGGGTTGACTAGCAAAATAAGTTAGTGAGTTGCAAAAAAACATTTCGTAATTTAACTGTTTGGTCGTAGCAATTATTAGGGAATGACATATTTCAAAACGCCGAATTGAATTGTTGCTATTTACCGCGGTTCCGTTTCAGCCATTGCATTCAAAGACGCTATGATCCAACAACTTATTACTAAACAACATTTTCACTTATTAGCCGGCAGCTCCATCTCAAGACCCTCATGTTAACATATCCCAAACCAATAAAAAACCCTAAGTTATTGATGAAGTAGGTAGGACATACTTGCTCCTTCCCTAAGGTAACCCTCTCGGTATAAGCTCCTTCCTTAAGCTTAACAAAACTCCACTTCACACAGTGTCACATAAAGAGCATTTATGATATGGTCATCTTCTCTACGTGACATATAAATGGATTGGAGGAGGCATGAACTGATGATCAATCCGTAACTAACATTCATATGATTTTTATGGGTTCCCTGGCCCTGGCCTCCTCCATCTATATTCAACTCCGACCAACCCCCACCACCACCGTCACTCATTATACTACCCCCTTTCTCTTTTAATCGCAACATTGGACTTTTTTCAATATTCACATATTTTACTTTGACTATATTTTATTAATTAATGTATTATAACTTAAATTTTTAAAAAATATTGTTAAATTCTTCTTATTCTAAATTTCAAAATATGAAGTTTTTAAACTTTTTACTAGTAGAGAATGAAAGATATTAATGATCAAACTTGTACGTTGTTAAACGTGAAATGTCGACGGTTGACCGTCCCGAAAGTATTGCCTTTTCTCAGTATATGTCGCCATGTCGGTATTACAGTTCCACAACGAAAAATTGGAAAGTAATAAAGTGTTTGTTAGAATTTCACACCGAAAAAGTTTGAATCGAACACAGTGCTATATTAAAACGGAATAACTTTTTGGACAACCTTTTTACTCTTCAATTTCTGTCAAGTGCTTATAAAAACCACCACCCCACATCCCCATTTCCCACTATCCGTATATGATCAATCAAAATGAGCGCTTCCTTTTTATTCTTGCTGGCACTTGTTTTATCATTCGCCGCCATTGTCAGAGCTCAAGATCTCCGGGCTCCCCACGGCCTTGCATACCACATCCCCGACGCCGCCGCCATGTCGCCTGAAGCATACGCCTTTTTCAACCCCGGAGATGGGCGCCGTCCCAAGACTGCTGCCTCTGCTAATGTCGCTTCTGCCTCTGCGTCCGGACACTTTCCGGCGGAGCAATCAATGCCGGTGGTGGCGCGAAACGCCGGAGATGATGGAGTAGCAGGAATACTTATCGGGTTTCTGTTTGTTGTGGTTGTAGCGTTGGGGGTTTACTTGTTATTTCTGACGACACGGAAGCAGAGTCCAGAAGGAAATGGCGGTCAACAAATAAGAGTTTGAAGAGAAAAATGGTGTAAGCCACACATTTTGTATATCCTTCTATCTCACGCATAAAGTATTGTTTGGGCACAGACAACTTTTTGTGCGTGAGACAGATAAATGTACAAAAAGTATACACAAAAATGTGTACATCTAGCACAACTCGTTGTTTTGAGGGACATGTCCCATATTGGTAATGATAAGAAGTTTATAAGTTATTTATGGAGTAATACTATAGAGAAATTGGAAATTTCTCAAAATAGGAGAAGAAAGTTAAAAGATGACATTTTTAAAATGAGTAAAATATTTTACTTTTTTTATTTGAATAAAGTAGCAACGTGTTTAAAACTTCAAATCATATCAGTGTATTTTGATGTTATTAGACATTAAAAAATGATGATATGATCTCAACAATATGATTTCTAAATAGCAGTACTTACTCAAATTTAAGGAAAAGAGTCGTAACACTCTTGTTTAAAGTATATTTTTCAACAAAGCACTTATGGCTTAGAGCAACCTGCATTGCTAATTTTGTTTTACTTTGAGGGATTGTTTTTAAAATGTTAAGGTTGTCTAATACGGAGTAATAAATCAGTTATTTATTTTTCAAAAAAAAATGTTAAGTTTGTCCTTGAATATTAATTTTTTTGTTTATTGGATAGAAAATCTGAATGTGCCAGCTTGATAACCTTGATTATAAGAGTTTAATCCATTTTAGTGTGCCAGCTTGATAACCTTGATTTGCTTTATTGCATATGTATTGGTTCTACTTACAAACAGAATAACTAATGCGTAGTACTAGTTACAAGTATGAAGTAGTTCATACTTGAAATAAACAAGATATCTATCTTTAAAATGAAGTTTACCAAGCACTTTGCTCTATGGTACTCCTCTCTAAGTACCATACCTTTTTTAAGCGGACCAATTAGAATATTACAATTGAACTATTTAAATACAAGTTAGCTAGCAAAAAGTATCGAATCAGTCCTCAAACTAACACTGATAGTGCAAATCACCGCTAAACTAAAAAACCCTTCAACCAAACCCTTCAAGTCGGCAATAAAGTGCAAATTACCCCTTCAATTAAAAAAACTGCAATCGAATTCTCCAACTTGGCGATATAGCGCATATGCCTTCCTAAGTTGTAATTTGTAATTTACCGATTAAACCTGATGTACACAATTTATTTAATAAATTATGCCACATAAAATTCATTTATCCACCCCAATATATCTCACTTAAACCTTTTACTAACTGCTTATAGAACAAGGTTAAGCACACAATCTCTTGAGATACTCAAGTGTTTCCATGATTGGCTGAAGACTCATCGACACACTCAAGAACTAAACATAGCACCGACCCGCCAGTTCACTGAAAATATTTTGTGTAACCTTTCTCTATTATTTAAATATTTTTGTAATTGTACAAGTCAATTTAATTTTCAAATAAATTTACATTTCATTTTTAATGTGTATAGTTTGTTATTTGTATTAATATAATTTTTTTAAGTAATTTAAAATGAAGTGGACAAATGAATCTTTAGGGACCTTGAGTTTTTTTAAGTAATAAAAACAATACATAAGCTTTAACCGGTAAAATATAACTTAGGAAAACCATTTGTGCCACATCGTCGAGTTAGGGACCTTGATGGCAATTTTTTTAATTGAAAGAGTGATTTGCACTTTATTGCCAACTTGGAGGGTTTGGTTGGAGGTTTTTCTAATTTAAGGGACAATTTGACTATCGGTGTTAGTTTGAGGGCTGATTTGATACTTATCCCTACAAGTTAAAAGTACCATATCACTCACCTTTTTAAATATTGGAGATTTGTAATGTTAGTCTCTTAACTTTTGAATGTAACTTATAGATTTAATCACGCAAATAATAAATACGTAGTATATCGATTCCAGGGACTTTTTGTTCGAAAACTACACCTTTCGACAAAAATATACTCGATAAGATTCAACCAACATCAAATTTAATTTCCAATGGAATACATGTATTTTATAGTGGAAAAATACAAATAAATTTATTGCTTACCAGATCAATTTAAATTTTCAAGTGAGTACATAAAATTACAGGATTAAAGTACTAAATCTAGGGAGATTTCAACAAATAGGAGCAAAACGTACGAATTTTCCAAAACTAAGACCGAAGATTCGTGTAAGACTCAACTACACCTGCATTGACCACAATATTCTTACCTTTAGGAAATATCAGACATTAAATAGACAATAAATAGACAATAAATAGACAATAAATAAATAATAAATTCTGATAAAATAATCTATATAAATCCAAGTGTGATCTGCTCGAGTACGACTGCGACGGCGGAGTTGAACCGCGACTTGGATGGTGAGGCAAGGCGGAGATCTGGACGGCGAGTCGAGGCGAAGATCTGGATGGCGAGGCGAGGCGAATATCTGGACGGCGAGGCGAGGTGAGGCGAGGCGGAGATCTGGAGGAGAGGCGAGGCATCGAGCGGGAGGGCATCTGCGGTCGAAGGTGGAGGCCTGCGTTCCAACGCAGGGAGAGAAGCTGCGTTTGGGGAGGAAGTCAATGTAAGGGTGGAGGGTAGAAACGAGAAAAAAAATTAAGGTTCCTAAAACTAGAACTAAATAGAGCATACTGATGGAAAAAAATACTAAGTAGATCCTAATAATGTAAACTTTGTATGATTTGGTTCTATTTTGCACAATTTTCTCCTAAATCTACAATTTGTAAATGAGTCCGATGCCAACATAGAACTAAATTTACAATTTAATTATCTTCTAAAATAGATTGAACCATTCCAATTGACCATAATAAGTGTTGTTAATTCCACTTTCTTTTTGAGCATGCATCTGTTCATAAGATTTGCTAGGAAATACTGGCTTATTTGGAAATAGTTGCTTATATAGATTTATTAGGAAATAGTTGCTTATATAGATTTATTAGGAAATAGTTGCTTATTTAATTCCACTTTCTCCTATACCCATACAACCTCAATAGTGTGGGGAAAACGACATCAAATCGGATGAAGAGAAGACATCTTGCTATGCTTTTAAGAATTCCAACTCATTACAGAAATATTGTTATATGTCAAACCATCAAGCACTTTTTTAGGAAATAAAATGGAAATATAGTGAACAAACAAATTGACAAATACGGCTAAAATATCAACCAATCATTTATTAAAACAAAATAGTTGAATTGTTCCGTTTAACCAAATACAAAAATAGAAATTGCACTGAATAAAAATGTCCTTATACTTCATTGGTGTGGTATAAATACACACGTTTTTATATGAGATAAACAAAAATCACATATAGGACTATTATTCAGACTAGTTGAGTCTGAGACTAGACCAGCATATATGAGACTTGATTTAAATAGTCTAGACAAGTTAAATATATATGTATATATATATATGTATATATATATATGTATATATGTATGTATATGTATGTATGTATATATATGTATATATATATATGCATATATACATATATATATACATATATATATATACATATATATACTCCCTCCGTCCCTTAAGGGTGTGTTTGGGAGTTGAGTTTTGGAGGGGAGGGGAAGGTTGATGGGGGTTTATGACTCTTCTTTTCATTTTTGGGAGTTTAAAAAATTGGAGGGGGTGGTTTTAGAGAGCTTTTGTAACCCTTCAAAATCCTCCAAATGCTTAATTTTTAAGTTCCCCCAATTTGGAGGGTTTTGGAGGATAATTAACAAGATGATAATTTAAGCTATTAGAAACGAATATCAACTCAATGATTTGAATTCGTCATATCTCAAAGTGATTTTAATTATAATTCCTTCAAAAACTCTCTCCTTCCAATTTTATTACTCCCAAATACAAAGAAGGGCTTCATCACCCTCCCCTTCCTTTCCCCTCCAACAACATACCTCCAAAGTCTTCCCCTCCCCTTCCCTCCACACTCCCAAACATACCCTAAAGGTTTGCCAAGTTTGACCAGAACGTAGAATAATAAAGTAAAAACTGTGTAGTAGATATTTGTGCAGATGAGAGAGAAATAATAGGAGCCACAATTTGATTGATTAAAATGGAAATTGGCAAAGTTATAAGAGGCGGAGGGAGTATATATATATATATATATATATATATATATATATATATATATATATATATATATATATATATATATATATATATATATATATATATATATATATTGATGGATTATATTCTAGAGAGAAGTGAGAGTTAGAGAGAGAAGTGCAAGTAAATGCTTCAATAAATGATTTTGTGAACCCCTACAACTACTCCGAGAGGTAGTATTTATAGAGGAAATTAGGGTCGGGCTCCCAAATCTTGGGCTTGGGAGGCCCATTTACAATTGGGCCACTACTGGGCCGAGTACAAAGAGTGTAAAAACAACTAAGTATGAAATCCGGTTGTGGGAGTTCTCTGTGGCCGAAGGAGGTTCGACCGAAGGAGGCGCCTGGCCGATGGAGACACGGCCGACGGAGGACCATCCGAGCTGATTGCTGTCTGGGCCATATTCTGGGCTGACTGTTGCTTGGCCGATGGGGGCGCCGGCCGACGGAGGCGCCTGGCCGATGGAGGCACTGGCCGACGGGGGCACCGGCCGATGGAGGCACTGGCCGACGGGGGCACCGACCGACGGAGGACAATTCTTCTCCTTGGCTTCTGGACCGTATTCTGGATCGACTCTTCTACGGCTGATGGAGGGCCACCTGGCCGAAGGAGGACCCACTGGGTGACAGCTGCGCTTCCTCTTAGTCTTCTGAGTATGTGGGTCATGGGGTCTGGACCCATATACTCCATCAGGAGTCCCCCACTCCCTGAGCTGAGGTGTAGACGAAGTGAAAGAGAGTAGATCCTTGTTGTTCTGACGCTTTGGTCGACGGAGGATTACCTGGGAATTGTAGTGTTCCTGGCCGAGGCGGTGCCATAATTGTTGGCTGCCTTGTCCTTCATTTTGAGGACGGTGAATGTTCTTCATTCCGAGGATGATGAATGCCCTTCATTTCGAGGACGATGAATGTCCTTCATTTTGAGGACGATGAATGTCCTTCATTTTTAGGATGATGAATGTCCTTCATTTTGAGGACGATGGGTGTCCTTCATCTTGAGGACGATGAATGTCATTCGTTTTGAGGACGATGAATGTCCTTCGTTTTGAGGACGATGAGGGTCCTGGACTAGAGGACGTTGTGTGCCCTTGGCTCTGTGGACGAAG